ATAGCCTAAATTTTATTATCCCGAAAAGCAATGCCTCTACAGACTTGGTAAAAACCTTTAGAGAGACACCAGAGCTAGCTAGCTCTCTTTCCTCAAACCATATAAGGACACAGAGATAAACCAGGAAGAGAGTCTTTACCAGATAACAATCATGTTGGCACCTTGATCTTGGACTTCTAGCTTCCTAAACTGTGAGAAAATCAATTTCTGTTGTTTAAGCCAGCCCATCTATGGTATTTTGTTATGGCGGCCCAAGCTAAGACAACATGTCTTGGGAAAAGCATATTAAAACAGTAGAGGCTATTTTTAATCATTATTAAAACAGTAACATTTAAAAATACCATGCCCTAATGATAGTGGAATAGTAGCCAAATGGTTACATCCTTACAATGTTGGTGGCTATAAAGATTAGCATAATGTTTTGAGAATCATCTGGGTCTACAATCAAGAATAATTTCAGAACTAGAACCTTAAGTGAAATAACAAAATATTTTCATATCAGCTACCAAGTAGCCTAAAATACACCATCTTACTGTAACCTTTATTTCATGACTACATTGGTAACATTTATCTAAGAGCACAATACAGGAAAAATGATTTGTATACTCCTTCAAAAAACATCAGTCTTTATTGTTTTTTTAATAAAGCTCCATACTGTTATACAACTCACTAGTATTTAAAGGATCAACAAATATTAAATACTTTTGTATATTTTCCACTCACTTTTGTGGTGAACCTAAAACTACTCTAAAAATTATTCTATTATAACAAAAAATTTTAAAATAAATACTAAAGAACAGTGAGATTTTGAACTGCCACAGCTGTGAAGTTTGCAGTGAAGAGAGTGTGCATGAAAACTTCATTTTAATACATGGTTTGTGGAGCAAATGGGGTTCGTTGGTTGTCTACTTCTGAGCATGCAGGAACATATAACCAGGAAACTATTTTTAAGCTCACTCAACGTATGAGGTAGAAAGGAGTAGACTGTGCAGTACAATCATTGATGACAAGTTCATATTAAATTTCTTTAGTTCTTCAGGTTTCCCTCTGATATTTATAAATTTCACAAACATGGCAAAGACAAAGGAAGTGTTAATATAATTAAATTCACTCATATGAAATTTGGGGCTGGAATAATGTATTTAACATGGATGTATTTAACAAAACTGTAACCAAAGCTCTTGCGATTTTTAAAACTTGACACAATAAACTATCTTCTACCAGTAACAGTCTTCATAATATTTATTGTTAATGCTCATGAGGTTAATATAAAAACTCTTTCACCAATTCCCATCTTTTGGCATTTGACTAAGCTTTTGCTTTTGTATTTTTGTTTTGCTGTTGCTGACATTGTTCCCACCCACCTCACCATCACTAATTCTATTATAAATGACTCTGCAGTAAACATTTTGGTGACTAGAGCAATCTGACTTCGACGTCCACTGTCGTCGTATGGTTTCTACCATAACATTGGTGGGTGAATAGAGAGCAACTCCCAAGAATATCCCTTTGGCCAAGAACCATGAGCCCCAATCTCTAGAATAACAAATACTAACATGGGCTCTCAAAAAGTTCAATTTTAATACCATTTCCAGAGTGTAACAAAGGTAAATAACTGATTGAGAAGAGTCTCTTATGACCCTTTTGACACATCAAATTTAATTCCTAACTATGACTTACCACTTCTTGAGAAACAAAATATTTATGGCATGGAAAACAAGTGCATATTTATAAGATACACATGCCTTATTTTATACTTAAATTTTATTATGAATGTGAAAAATATTTTAAAAAATAATGATCCAATGCTAAATCTTAAGAGACAAAACAAAATAGCCTACCTAAGTGGTAAAAAATAAAAAACAGTGGAAAGGGGAGTTTATCTAGCTTCATTTTCTTCCTTCAGAGTTTTGAATCCTTCTCCTGTTTTTTTTTTTAAATTTTGTGTGTGTGTGTGTGTGTGTGTGTGTGGTCATAATAGTTTGGAACATTGTGAAATTTCAGTTGCACATTATTTTTTGTCAGACACCATCTAAGTATGCCCCTTTACCTCTTGTGACCACCTCCCACCCCCCTACCCCGTGGTAACCACTAAACTGTTCTCTTTATAAGTTTAAATTCCACAAGTAAGTGAAATCATAGGGTGTTTGTCATTGGCTTATTTCACTTAACATGATACCCTCAAGATCCATCCATGTGATTGTGAATGGGATGATTTTGTCTTTTTTTATGGCTGAGTAGTAGTCCATTGTAGATATATACTACATCTTCTTTATCCAATCATCAGCTGATGGACACTTGGGTTGCTTCCACTTCTTGGCTATTGTGAATAATGCTGCAATGAACACAGGCGTGCATAAGTCTCTTTGTATTGTTGATTTCAAGCTCTTTGGATAAATACTCAGTAATGGGATGGCTGGATCATATGGTATTTCTATTCTTAATTCTTTGAGAACAAATCTCCATACTGTTTTCCATAGTGGCTGCAGCAGCAGTTTGCATTCCTACCAGCAGTGTATGAGTGTGTCCTTTTCTCCACAACCTCTCCAAGATTTGCTATTTTTTGTCTTGGTGATTATAGCCATTCTAATGGGCGTAAGGTGATAATATCTAAGTGTAGTTTTGATTTGCATTTCCCTGATGATTAGTGATGTTGAGTATCTATTCACGTACCTATTGGCCATCTGTATATCTTCTTCGGAAAACTGTTCATATCCTCTGCCCATTTTTTGATTGGGCTGTTTGTTTTTTTGTAGTTCAGTTGTTTGAGTTCTTTATATTTTATGGAAATTAACTCTTCGTCAGATATATGATTTGCAAATATTTTCTCCCAGTTGGTGGGTTGTTTTTTCATTTTGATCCTGGTTTCCTTTGCCTTCCAGAAGCTCTTTAGTCTGATGAAGTCCCACTTGTTTATTTTTTTTTCCTTTGAGTGGACATGGTATTCGAAAAGATCCTTTAGGGCTGACGTCTCAGCTTCAAGTCTTTGATCCATTTTGAGTCTATTTTTGTGTATGGAGAAAGATAATGGTCAACTTTCATTCTTTTGCATGTGGCTGTCCAGTTTCACCAACACCATTTATTGAAGAGGCTTTCCTTTCCCCATTGTATGTTCTTGGTTCCTCTGTCGAAGATTAGCTGTCCATAGATGTGTGGTTTTATTTCTGGGCTTTCAATTCTGTTCCATTGATATGTGTGCCTGTTTTTGTACCAGTACCATGCTGTTTTCATTACTACAGCTTTCTAGTATATTTTGAAGTCTGGGACTGTGATGCGACCAGCTTTGTTCTTGTTTCTCAGGATAGCTTTGGCTATTGGGGTCTTTTGTTGCCCCATATGAATTTTAAGATTCTTTGTTCTATTTCGGTGAAGAATGTCACTGGGATTTTGGATGAGATTGAACTCAATCTGTAGTTTGCTTCAGGTAGTATGGACATTTTAACTATGTTTATTCTTCTGGTCCATGTGCATGGAACATCTCCATTTCTATATGTAATTATCGATTTCTTTCAGTAATGTCTTATAGTTTTCCTTGTATAGGTCTTTCACCTCCTTGGTTAAATTTATTACTAGATATTTTATTCCTTTTGCTGCAATTGTTGCTCGTTTCTTTTTTGAGAGGGGTTTGGGAATTAGGCTGTGATGGAAACAGGTAAGAGTATATATGGCTTTAAGGTGAATTAGTTCTCATTAGTAAGACAAAAGCTTGAGTCTTCTCACTTCTCTCTTGCTATCTAAAATCTATATATACTACATAGTTTTAAAGGCAAGAACTTTTGATTATCAAATGAACAGAAACATAAAAATATTTCTGTGTACTGAACTCAGTTTGAATTATGCAACAGTGAATCATTTCTATAGTCTCTCTCCTACAATAGGATAACTTTGTTATAGAAAACAGTATAAAGTATTCAGTGTTGTTTATCTGTATTATGATTACATCAAATACTAAAGATAGTGAAAAACCCAATAATCTGAGAGCTTATTTCTGTAAATGTAACTGCATAGCACCTTTTGAGCACCAGTTTGTACTGTTTTAAGAAGGAAAAAAAAGAAAAGAAACTAAAGCCTTACAGAAAAAGAGAGTTGTGAAAAATGATAAAGCTGCTCCAGTGTGCTAATTTATACAGACTGACATCCAAATTCAGGAGCCTAGAGTACGTTCTCCATTTCTTGCCTACAAACATTTTAGAGGCCATGTAGCTCTGTTTCTGGAGCAAAGGCACTTCCCAATATCCACCAGGCCAAAAAGAAAGAACTACATGACCAAGGCTGCAAATTTTAAAAATCAATTTTAATGCTTGGGCCGCAGCTACAATAAAATGAGACCACTTCAGCACCCTATTGCAATCAGAAAGATTACAGAATGGCAAAGGATTGGACTCAAGGAATATTTTAGTGGGCCTTGACATAATTATCCTGAGAAACATAAAGCATTGTTCTAGCATCCTTATAGATTAGCCCAAAGCTAAGGACATTTCTTCAACAAAACTAGAAATGATTCCCCCAGGCATGTGAACTTGTTCAGTAGAAGAACCTCACCTTGGACTTATTCCAAAAGAGGCTCTCAACTGCTCTGCAGCAACTCCTGAAAGAAGGCCAGTCCAAATGGAGTAGGATAAATCCCCCCAAAAAGCTGAATCTCTGATCATAGCAACAGGTGACCCCTGCTGTGAAGCTAGAGGACAGGCACACAAATAACTTTGTATGACTTTATCTACTAAATTTAAAAAATGCAAATGTTAACACATATGCATTATAATGTTAGCAATGAGCAGCAAAGGTTTAAAGCCTCAATCTTAAATTAACTGTACTATACGCCAGTATTACAAAACTATCCTCAACTTTAAACAACTAGAGACTGCTAACTAAAAGTGGGAAACCATGAATACTTCTTTGTGGCTACAGCATAACCACCACAGTATACTGAGATACAGGGACTACTTTAAAGGATGGTATCTAAAACATCTTTAGAGAAATTCATGATAGACGTTTCTTACCTCATAAATGTTGGGGTGCCACATTTTGGTCAAGAATCTGAAGGTAGGTGGTGAATATGGGTAGTCAATAGGAAATTTAATATGCGCCTGAAAAGAAAAAAATGAAATAGTAATAAATGAGACTACAGGTTATTTACCTGTCTAATAATTTACCCTATTACACCCCAGTGAAACAAAACTCCTTTCTATAGAGTAGACTCTTGAGATTAAAATAGCTCATATGTATATTTTGTTAGCTCCAATGCTAGGGTTATTATGATGTTCTTAGAGCATCGTTTCAAATATTTATAAGAGTTTATGCTAAATCACCAAAACTCAATAGCTATTAATTTTTAATTTAACTCACATGAATAAAAAACAGTAATATGAACAGGTATGTGACATTAATTTTGCATTTTATTTTTATAACAAATTAATTAATACAACCTTATGGCACATAATATAGAACAAAGATAATTTTTTAATCACAATTTAACCACCACTCAGAAATAATAAATGCTACCATTTTGATATAGCTCCTTCTAGTAGTTTTTTGTATACATATGCTCATTTCTTTACAAAATTTATTTTCAAAAATTTGAATATACTGTATTTTATACTGTTTTTCCCATCTATATCATATCACAGACATCTTCCTATGTCATAAAATAGTCTTGAAATGTATGACTGTTAGTATCTGCATAATGTTCCATCATATAAATACAGAGATGAATCATTTTTTAAAAACTATTTCCTTATTTGGGGGCATTTGGCTTGTTTTTCACTCTTTTGCTACTGTAAATACTGCTGTCCAACCATTAGCTGACAACTAAGCTAATCAAGTGGAGACTTTGCTACCACTAACCAAGGAAACAATTACAACAAACAGTAACAAAACAAATCCTGTTGCCACATTATCTAAACATCCAATTTTCAACAAAATATTACAAGACATGGAAAAAAACAAGATATGGTCCATACACAGGGCAAAAAAAAAAAAAAAGCAATCAGTAGAAACTGGAAGCCCACATAGTGAATTTACTAGACAAAGACTTTTAAATAAGCTACACTAAATATGTTCGAAGGACTAAAGGAAACCATAGCTAAAGAACTAAGGAAAGTATGAGAAAAATGACTCAGCACATTCAGAATATAAATAAAGAGAAATTTAAAAAAAAAAAAAACACAACTTTTTTTGGAGGGAAAAAGTGAACCAAATATAAATTGTGGAGTTGTTGGGGCCAGTCCAGTGGTGCAGTGGTTAAATTCACATGTTCCACTTCAGTGGCCCAGGGTTCACCAGTTTGGATCCCAGGTGTGAACCTATGCACTACTTGGCAAGCCATGTCGTGGCAGGCATCCCACATATAAAGTGGAGGAAGATGGGCACGGATGTTAGCTCAGAGCCAATCTTCGTCAGCAAAAAGAGGAAGATTGGCAGCAGATGTTAACTCAGGGCCAATCTTTAAAAGAAAAAGAAAAAGAAAAAGAAATTGTGGAGCTGCAAAATACACTAACTGAAATAAAAAAATTTGCTAGAGAGACTGAACAGCAGGTTTGAGCAAGTGGAAAAAAGAATCAGTGAAAGTGAAGATAGGTCAAATTAGATTATATAATCTGAGGAACAGAAATAAAAAAGAACAGTTCCTCAGAGACCTGTGGGACACCATTAAGCATACCAACATAGGCACACTGGGAGTTTTAGTGGGCAAGGAAACAAAGGGGCAAAAAAGAGTATTTGAAGAAATGATGGCCAAAACTTCCCAAATTTAATGAAAAACATTGATCTTACAACCAAGAAGCTCAACAAACTCCCAGTAGAATAAACTCAAAGAGATCCACATCTAGATACATCATAATCAAACTGTTAAAAGCCAAAGAGAAATTCTTGAAAAAAGCAAGAGAGAAGCAATTCATCAAACACAGGGGACCCAAAATAACACAAACAGGTGATTTCTCATCAAAAACCAGGAAGCCAGAAGTCAGTGGAACGACATTCAAAGTGCCCAAAGAACAGAATCTGTCAACCAAAAAGTCTATATCCAGCAAAACTATTCCACAAAATCCTAGATAAAAAAAAAACAAACCAGAGAACTTGTGATTAGCGGACCTGCCCCACAAGAAATACTAGAGGGAGTCCTTTGGGCTGAAATGAAAGAACACTAGATAGTGTACATGAAACAACATAAAGAAAGAGCACTGGTAAAAATAATTACATAGGGTAAACATAAAAGATACTATAAATGTACTTTTATTGTTTATAATTTTTTCTCCTATGTGATTTAAAAGAAAATCACATAATAATTATAAATCTGTTGTTTGGCACATAATATATAAAGATGTAATTTGTATGGCAAATGGAAAAAAATAAGAGGAAGGGATCAGAGTTATATAGGAGCAAAGTTTTTGTATACTAGTGAAAGTAAGATGGTATTAATTGAACCACAGTTACAAAATGTTGATTATAATCCTCAGGATAACCACTAAGAAAATAAACTCAAAAATTCAAGGGGGCTGACCCCATGGTATAGTGGTTAAGTCTGGCACACTCCGCTTCAGCAGCCCAGGTTCAAGGGGTCAGATCCAGGCGCAGACCTACACCATTTGTCAGCCATGCTGCTGTGGCAACCCACACGTAAAGTGGAGGCAGGCTGGCACAGATGTGAGCTCAGGGCTAATCTTCCCCCCACCAAAAAAAAATAACTGAAAAGTTCCATACCCGTTTGTGATTAAAAACACCCAACAAACTATGAATACAAGCAAAATTTCTCAATTTGATACAGGCCATCTATTAAAAAACCAGTAACTAACATCATACTTAACAGTAAAACACCAAAACCTTCCCCCCTAATTTCAAGAACAAGACATGGATGTCCGCTCTCACCACTTCTATTCAGCATTGTAGCAGAGATGCTAGTCGGGCAACTGGGCAAGGAAATGAAATAAAAGGCATCTCACTTGGAAAGGAAGAAGCCAAGTTAGATCTATTTGCAGGTGACATGATCTTGTATAGAAAATTCGAAGGACTCCACTAAAAATCATTAGAATAAACAAATTCAGCAAGGTTGCAGGATAAATGATCAATATACCAGCACCAATTGTATTTCTATACAGTAGCACTGAACAGACCAAAAATGAAATTAAGAAAATTCCAGGGGCAGGCCCCGTGGCTGAGTGGTTAAGTTCACGTGCTCTGCTTTGGCGGCCCAGGGTTTTGCTGGTTCGAATCCTGGGTGCAGACATGGCACCATTCATCAGGCCATGCTTAGGCAGTGTCCCACGTGCCACAACTAAGAATACACAACTATGTACCAGGGGGCTTTGGGGAGAAAAAAGAAAAATAAAATCTTGAAAAAAAAAAAAAGAGAAGAAAATTCCATTTATAATAGCATCAAAAAGAATAAAATATTTAGGAATAAATTTAACAAAAGAAGTGCAAAACCTATACTCTGAAAAGTACAAAACATTGTCAAAAGAAATTAAAGACCTAAATAAACAGGAAGATACTGCATGTTCACGGATTGCAAGATTCAATATTGTAAAGATGGCAATCCTCCCCAAACTGATCTACAGATTCAATGTCACTCTATGGAAATCCCAGCTGCCTTCTTCATAGAAATGGAAGAACAGGTACCAAAATTCAGAAATAATTCATGGGGCCCAGAATAGCCAAAACAATCTTGAAAAATAAAGAAAAAGTTAGACAATTCACACTTTCCAATATCAAAACTTCCTACAAATCTACACTAATCAAGCAGTTTGGTACTAGTATAAGGACAATTCAATGGGGGAAAAGTCTTTTCAATAAATTGTGCTAAGACAACTAGATATTCACATGCAAAAGAATGGAGTTAAATCCTTTGAAACACACCAGAGGAGTCTGTTCTTTTTCTTTTTTAAGATTAGCACCTGAGCTAACACCTGTTGCCAATCTTTTTTTCTTCTTCTTCTTCTCCCCAAAGCTCCTCAGGGCACAGTTGTATATTTTAGGTGCAGGTCCTCCTTGCTCTGCTATGTGGGATGCTGCCTCAGCATGGCTTGATGAGTGGTGCTAGGTCCGTGCCCAGGATCTGAACCGGTGAAACCCTGGCCTTCTGAAGCATAGTGCTCAAACTTACGGCCACGGGGCTGGCCCCTAGAGGACTCTGTTTGTAACGAGGCCTGCCCTCAGGGGAATCTAGTTAACCAGAGCCTAATCAGCTGGGGTATTATCAGAGCCTAACTGACCTGGGGGAAGACACATGCCCAACTCATGCCTGAATGTCCCATGTACAGGGAAGGAAACACTGAGAAGCTCTTGTGAAAAGTTCACAGTCCAGAGGCAAAGACTCACTAAAAGACTGAGACCTAATCATCGGAGTAATAGTTCCCCTTCCCCCCACATCTCATTACCATATTACTAAGGCCTATTTAAAGCAGTTCCTTTTACCCAGTACATCATACCTAGCTATCAAGAAAAAACTACAAGGCATACCAAAAGGAAAAGTCACAAATGAAAAGATAGAATAATGATCACAACCAGACATGGCAAGGATGTTGAAATTATCAGACTGGGAATTTAAAACAACTATGATTAATATTCTAAGGATTCTAATGGATAAAACAGCAGGCAAACACAGATAGGCAATGTAAACAGAGAGAATAAAATCCTAAGAAATACCAAAGAGAAATGCTAGAGATAAAAACACTGTAACAAAAATGAAGAATGTCTTTGATGGGCTTATTAAGACTGGACACAGCTGAAGAAAGACTCTCTGAGCTAGAGAATACATCAATAGAATCCTCAAAAACCAAAATGCAAAGAGAACAGGACTGATAAAAACAGAACAGAATATCCAAGGACTGTGGGACAACTACAAAAGGTACATATATGTAACGGTAATACCACAAGGAACAAAAGATACCTTGAAGAAAATGAAAAGACAAGCCACAGAATGGGGGAAAATATTTGCAAATCATTTATCTGATAAGAAAGAGGTACTGAGAATATGTAAAGGATGTTTAGAACTCATTGATCAAGAGAAATAACTCAATTTAAAAACGAGCAAGAGGGGGCCCTGTGGCCAACTGGTTAAGTTGGCATGCTCCGCTTTGGCGGCCCAGGGTTT